TCCCTTCCCTTCCCTTCCCTTCCCTTCTCTCCTTCTTTCCTTTTTTCCTTCTTTTTCTCTCTCTCCTCCTCTTCCCATTCCTCACTGCACACACTGCCACCACCAGCTCAGCCCAGTCCTGACCCTCCCAGTCCCCTTCCAGATCCTGGCCCTTCACCCCAGCCTGGGCAGAGCCACTCACAGCTGCAGGCACTGATGCTATAGGCATGGAGATACCCATCTGTGCTGTATGCATCTATACACACACACTGATATGTGCATTCGTGCAACAGGCATTTACAATATGCATCAATACCACTTGCACCAGTGTCACACACATTTATTGGAATGCACTGATACGTATGTTCGTGCTCTGTGTGTTCACTGACATGCATTTATGTATGCATTCGTATGCCTTACCCACATATGCATATACATTGACATGAGCATTCGTACTATATGCATTTTATAGATGTGCACAACTCTGCTCCGCGCTTGTCTATGTGGGGCAGGGGTATGCGGGGAGCGGGGTGCCTGTGTGGAAAGCCTGAGCCCTCCACAATCCTCGGTCCCTGCACCCCGCAGAGGTGCCCCCTCCCCAGATGACAGCACCCAGCACAGGTTAGGGATGAGGGAGGCTGTGGTCTCCCCACAAAAACAAGGGGTTGCTTTCTGGGGTTTGCCTCTCTGCCTTCCCACCCCCAGCCCTGCATGGTCCCAGAGGCTGGGGGGATATGTCCTCCTCTTTTCTGTGGGAAACGGGGCACAGAGGGAGGGTCCAGGGGTGGGGAGGCAGTTCTAGTGTTCCTACTCCCCTTTCAGTCCCCAAAACTGGAGCAGGTCGAGGACCCAAACCAAGCCCAAATCATACCCAGCCCTTCCAAACCCAGACCCAAACCAGTATCCACATCCCAAACCTTCCCCGACCCAAACCCAGTCCACCCAAAACCCAAATCCACGTCCAACCCTCCAGCCCTCTCCTCGCCACCCCCACAAAACCCCAGGTAAGGGCAGTGCTAGGGCGGTGAGAGGAGGTTTTGTGGAGGGGTCCCTGTGCCCCCCCCAGCACCAGGTTGGGGAAGTTCTGCTGTGAATCCCTAAATCCATCTTTTTTTCAGTCGCTCTCCCCCATCTCCTTGGAAACTGGCAGTGCTCCCCAGCCTCAGGCTCCTCCTGGAAATGCAATCACCCCAAAAGTTGTCCCTGGTTTGGGGCTCCCTGGGTTGCCTCAGCCTGGGGTGGGAGCAGAGCCACCCCCAGGCGAGGGCTGGTTACTGGGGAGAAACTGGGCAGTGTGGGCTGATGCTGGCAGGGAGTGGGCAAAGGAGGTGGAGCTGGCATTTGAAGCAGCTTGACTGTGGTTGGGGGTCAAGACTTCCCTCTGCGTCTTCTGCTTTTTTAATTTTGGTGTTATATATATTTATTTTTATTTCTTTTCCTCTGGTGGGAGATGTCGCCCTGCAGAACAAGGAGAGGATTTGCTCGTATGTATATTTTTCAGGGGGTAAGGGGACACCTCAAATCAAACTCCCTTCTAATCAGCTCTTTGCTCCTAAATCTGGCTTTGCACTACTAAACCAATGTGATCCCCCCGCCAGCTTTTCCCACTGGTTTTATTGGGTGTAGAATTGCCTCCCGCAGCCTGAGTTCAGAGGAAATAAATTCAGCCAGAAGGGAGATCTCGAACATTAAAAATGAAAAAGAAGTTAAAACTCTCTTTATAATAATAATTTGCATCTGCCAGCTCACCTTGGGATTTTGCCCTTTGCTCACACGAGTGCCCATTTAAATTAAAATCCGAAACAAACAGGTAGAGAAAATGTAGGAAGTGTAAAAAGCCAGGGGAAATTCAGAGAAATTCCTGCCAGGAATTGGCATTCCTTTTTTTCCTGATAAAAATGAGCACTAGCTGGAGGAGCTCATGCTTAACAGACGGGTAAATACTCAGGAAAGAGAAGTAAGAGATAAGATGGGAAAAAACAAAATGGAAAAAGAGGTTTTAAAAAGGCTTTAAAAAAATAATCAAAAGCCCAGGAAACAAAGAGATTTTCCAGGCAGGTGGGACTCTGTGCTGCAGTTCAACAAGGACTTTGTTTTTACAAGTGTATTTTGCTTGAATAGTACTTTCTGGGGAGGGCACACTTTATTGTTTTGAGCCAAATCAGCACAGAAATCAAACTTTCCGTGCTGCTGCCTGGGAGCAACCCATGATAGGGACCCAGCTGAGATATCCCCGGCAGCCCCAGCCTCCGCGCTGCCTCCTGCTTCCCAAACCCTCCCTGCATGTACCCTCCCATTAAAAAAAAAAAAAAAAAAACCAAATGAAAAAATCACCGACCGACAAGTGCTAACATGAAGCAGTGTAAAAACCGGCTTTCGTTCAGAGCTGGCCAACGTGTTTATTTTAAAGGCTGATCGTTGCTGGTGGTGGCAGGGGATGTAAATGCCGCCGTAGGAAGGAGAGCATTTACTGGTGCCCGCAGAAAGGAATAGCCCGTTTGGGATGCAGGGATGTGAAATTAAGGGATGACTAGAGAGGCACTCGTCTCCGACGGTGGCATTCCCACTCTCTGGGGACCGTGGTGGGGTGACGATGGCCCGTGGCTTCAAGTGGCTCCTGAGCAGGAGGGTGCTGGTGACCAGCCATGGGGGACAGACGGTGACAGGGAGTGGAATGATGGCAGGTGATTTTTTTTCTGCACCTCTCTCCCTTTCCAGAAGTCCATTATTTCCTTTTTATTTTTTTTGCTGCGATAAATCCAAAGCGAGTTCATGGCTCAGGCGACCCCAGCATTGCAATCAGGAAGGAGAGAGGGAGAAAGAGGGAGGACAGAGAG